GGCATGGGTTTTATCTGGGCGAACTGCATGGGACACATATGGTTAACCTAAAATGAGACCCATATGGCTGGCCCATATGGGCTAAATGCATGGGCCCTATTCAGCAACTAGGTGGGCTATCTGGGAATGGGATAGTACTGGGCAACACTATATGGGGCCCATGTGGTTCAGTATCATGAGCCCAACATGGGAAGCCCATGTGGGCTGACCACATTGAACCCACATGACATCAGCATGGGCTGACCTTATATGGGTTAGACCTGGGTGTGGATATGGAGGCCCCAGTCCTTTTTTAAGTGGGCTATCTGGGAATGGGATAGTACTGGGCAACAGTATATGGGGCCCATGTGGTTTCAGTATCATGGGCCCAACATGGGAAGCCCATGTGGGCAGACCACATTGAACCCACATGACATCAGCATGGGCTGACCATATGGGTTAGACCTGGGTGTGGATATGTAGGCCCCAGTCCTTTTTAAGTGGGCTATCTGGGAATGGGACAGAAACGGGCAACACTATATGGGGCCCATGTGGTTTCAGTATTATGGGCCCAACATGGGAAGCCCATGTGGGCAGACCACATTGAACCCACATGACATCAGCATGGGCTGACCATATATGGGTTAGACCTGGTGTGGATATGTGGGCCCCAGTCCTTTTTTAAGTGGGCTATCTGGGAATGGGATAGTACTGGGCAACAGTATATGGGGCCCATGTGGTTTCAGTATCATGGGCCCAACATGGGAAGCCCATGTGGGCAGACCACATTGAACCCACATGACATCAGCATGGGCTGACCATATATGGGTTAGACCTGGGTGTGGATATGGAGGCCCCAGTCCTTTTTTAAGTGGGCTATCTGGGAATGGGACAGAAACGGGCAACACTATATGGGGCCCATGTGGTTTCAGTATTATGGGCCCAACATGGGAAGCCCATGTGGGCAGACCACATGAACCCACATGACATCAGCATGGGCTGACCATATATGGGTTAGACCTGGTGTGGATATGTAGGCCCCAGTCCTTTTTTAAGTGGGCTAACTGGGAATGGGATAGAACTGGGCAAAACTGTGGGGCCCATGTGGTTTCAGTATCATGGGCCCAACATGGGGAGCCCATGTGGGCTGACCACATTGAACCCACATGACATGAGCATGGGCTCATGTCATGGGCCCAACATGGGGAGACCATGTGGGCTGACCACACTGAACCCACTGTGGGTTCAGTGTGGTCAGTACATATCCACGCCCAGGTTGGACCTGAGTGTGGATATGTAGACCCCAGTCCTTTTTTAAGTGGGCTAAATGAGACAAAATTGTAGAACAATGTACAGGGGTTGGACAATGAAACTGAAACACCTCTCATTTTAGTGTGGGAGGTTTCATGCCTGAATTGGACTAGCCTGGTGGCCAATCTTCATGAATTGCACATTGCAACAGTAAGAGCAGAGTGTGAAGGTCCAATTAGCAGGGTAAGAGCACAGTTTTGCTCAAAATATTGCAATGCACATAACATTATTTGGGACATACTGGAGTTCAAAAGAGGGCAAATTGTTCACCAAGACAGCAAGTCTTTGTGATTATCAAGAGCCACAGTATCCAGGGTAATGTCAGCATACCACCAAGAATGACGAACCACATCTAACAGGATTAACTGTGGATGCAAGACGAAGCTGTCTTAAAGAGATGTTTGGGTGCTAACCCGGATTGTATCCCAAAAACATAAAACCACGGTGCCCAAATCACGGTAGAATTAAATGTGCACCTCAACTCTCCTGTTTCCACCAATACTGTCCGTCGGGAGCTCCACATGGTCAATATACACAGCCGGGCTGCTATAGCCAAACTTTTGGTCACTCGTATCAATGCCAAACGTCGGTTCAATGGTGCAAGGAGCGAAAATTTTGTGCTGTGGACAATGTGAAACATGTATTGTTCTCTGATGAGTCTACCTTTACTGTTTTCCCCACATCCGGGAGAGTTACGGTGTGGAGAAGCCCCAAAGATGCATTCCAGCCAGAGTGTTGTATGCCAGAGTGAAGCATGGGGGTGGATCATTGATGGTGTGGGCTGCCATATCATGGCATTCCCTTGGCCCCATACTTGTCCAAGACGAATTGATGCTGTATTGGCCTCAAAAGGAGGCCCTACACCACGCTAATAAGTTATTGTGGTCTAAAACCAGGTGTTTCAGTTTCATTGTCCAACCCCTGTAGTTAACCTGTCACTTTCAAAATTTTGACTGTATGTCAAAGCAAAAGCTGCAAGAGCAAGATTCTCAAAACTTGGAAAGAATTACCCGAGATGTCAGCTTTATAGTCTTTGCCAAGGCAATTGTTACTCAGCTGGCCTCTAATGGAGTTGATGTAAGGTAAATTGTAGAATTTAATTTTTTCCTTGTAGGAAACCTCGACGATAGTAAAGGTTGGTGACCTTGACCATTGTCGAGGTCTCCAGGACGAAGGTGACCTCGTCTTGGAGATCACCCAAGGATATATTTTGCTGATAGAACAGAACATCCATGTCTTCCTAATGTTTGAACCTAAAACATGTTCACTGTGTGATATCTATGCCTGGCTCATTTACAAACACTAGGCTTCCAGAGGACCAGGATATTAAAACATTAAAAATAATTCTACAATGCTTTATTTTTTTAAACCAGTTCAGTATTGCTCTAGCCACACTTTGAACCCTTAACATTTTTTTCATGTTATTATTTTATGCTAGAACAGTCCAGTCCAGTCTCCAAGCCAGTACGCATGAGTGGGCCCCCCTTGGGTTTGTAGTAGGCCATATGGGTAATGAGTGGTCATGGGTTTTATCTGGGCAAACCTCATGGGACACATATGGTTAACTAAAATGGGACCCGTATGGGCTGGCCCATTTGGCTAAATGTATGGGCCCTATTCAGCAACAATGTGGGCTAACTGGAAATGGGACAGAAATGGGCAACACTATTTGGGGCCCATGTGGTTTCAGTATCATGGGCCCCACATGAGAAGCCCAATGTGGGCTGTCCACATTAAACTAACATGACATGAGCATGGGCTAACCATACATGGGTTGGACCTGGGCAGGAAAATGTAGCCCCTAGTACTTTTTTTCATGGTCTAAATGGGACAAAATTGTAGAACATTTTAATCGACAATGTGGTTACCCTGTCACTTTCAAACTTTTCACTGTATGTCAAAGCAAAAGCCAGTTCAGTATTGCTCTTGCTACACTTTGAACCCCTAACTTTTTTTTCATTTTATTATTGCAGTCTGAATGTCTTAAAACATTTTTTTGAAATAATCTGTTTGAAATATATACGTAAACTCATATTCTGGTGCTTACTCAAAATTAAGCACAGAGTGGTCATGGTTGAGCTTTAGTCCTTGTTTTATTTTTAATAATAATAACTTTTTATTTTATTTTTATTATTATTTTTTATCAATTGGATGTTTAGACATCCATAGAGTTTACTGCAGCCTGTTCGCAGCAAGATTTAAATTTTTATTTGGACAAATAGTTCAGATCAGACCATTGTGAAAAATATCACAAAATGTTTAGAAAATAAACAAAACTCATTAGCAAGTGAGAGACAAGAGTAAAATTTTGAGCATCTGTTTTTTCATATATTTGCAAACATTTTCCAAGTCATCAGTATAAATAAAATAAAAAATAAAAAAACGTAACATTTCTGTTAATGATTCATTTGGTTCCAATTACCTTTTTGTTCATTGTTTGCTCTGAGGCACCGTTGCCAATAAAGGTTGGTGAATTGAAGTACCGGTAGGCACTTTACACATCCACTGAAGAAAATAGTTCCAAAACATATTTGAATAAGGAGGACAACGAAATGTATTTATTTACATTGAGAACTTTTGCTACATCGGTTTTACATTTGTTAAACCGATGTAGCACTCTCAAAAATTAATCTTGTGTTTCTTGGAAAACGTAAAATGACCCGCGGATGGATATGCGGTTTCAAAATCAAGCCTGTTCTCTTCATCAGTCCGTTGGCGCGGAGTCTGCCTGTTGGCTGATCTACGAAAGAATCTGTAAGTACATTTCTTCTGTTTTACCTAGTACCAAATTTTAGGGAGAGAGTTTAAATCGCTTGTTAAAAAAATTTTGCTCGTAACAAATCGGACGACAGTATCCCAAAAGAGACTTAATTGTTATTGTTATTTTTGCTTTTTTTAGGGTGATACTTTTTCTGATATTGCTAACACACACAGCTACACACAATAAGCAGATTTTAGTGCAGACCGATTTCAAACGCAGCGTTGTGGGCCAAACCAGGAGCAGCAGAATCTTCAGTCTACGCTAGATTGACTGAAGATTCTACTGGTGTATGCTAGATGGTTGCATACACCGGTAGTCACTCTGGCCTCTCCTGTTGTGAACAGTTTTCTGAGAACGTTTCTGTGTCTACTAGAAGTCACCTGGTCTCTGTGTTTGTTCGATCCTAGGGGTTTTGTCGCCTCATTCGAGAACTCACCAGTGAATACCTGCCTGTTCGCTCCGCCGATTCCACTGCCTCCACTCCACCCTTCAAGCTTCCAGCTCTCTTCCATTCCCACCTCGCATTTACCTTCGGAACCGCTGCACACCCTCTCTCAGGAACCTGGCATCTCACACACGCCTCGAAAGACCCGCACCGAAGTAAGCCTGTTCCTGTTTCCCCTCCGATCACTCATTCTAAGCCCGTCATAACTAAGTTCTCGTTTCAGGCCAACCTGGTCGAGTGGTCCTCACCCTTCCGCTGATGTCCGGGAAATAGATTTTATTTGTCCTGTTGTAAATAAATCACTCACTCATCCCTATCCAACGTGTGGTTACTGCATGTGGGTCCGTAAATTGAAACCCATCATGTCAATCAGTGGCCAAGCCTGAAACAAATATTGAAAGATGAAGAAATTCTTTTTGATATTTTTGCAATATTTAGCTAGCAGTTATGTGAAATGTACTTATATTTAATTGTAGCTCTAATTTTTTATATGTACAATGTTTTAGGCTTTATTAGTTACATTTATAGTGATTTTCTAAACTTCTCTTAAGAGTAATACTACTGTCTTAGTCCTGTCACGTTAACAAAGAAATTAGGATAATTGCAAAACTGTTCAGTGTTTACAATATAAGGCTTCAGTAGTTAATCTATACAAAGGCTGTTTTGCCTTAATTTTTTTATTTTTTTGAAAAGTCTAAATGTTATATTGCACTAATAAAATATATATTTTTGCAGGCTTCAAGAGGATCAGCGTGTGAAGATCACTTTATAATGATTTGAAAAAGGTAGATTAATATGTTAGTGAAATTAAGCACATAAGAGTGATATAATAACAAACTGATGAACAAAAACAAAATGTTGTCCTGTTATTGTCATTGTACTTAAGGTTGCCATGGCTGCAGAAATTGGAGGAGCATCCTTAGATGACACAATACAACCAGCTGTGCGATTCCTCATGTCCCATGAACTGGAAGTCCAGTTCAACCTTTTTGGCCAACATTGGAAACAAGCTCTTGGACCTGCGTCTCTTTGATGTTTTGTATGGTAAATATCAGTTTTTATTGTCAGAGTAACTTTTTTTTTTCACTTTTCTTTCTTAAACATATGTTAATTTATTTTGGTTGTTTTATGCTTTTGTTTGTTATTTTTAGTAATGTTTTTAGGTTAAAAATTGAGTCTTCAATTTTTGGTTTTATTTGAACAGTATTCTTTCACTGTTGTTAAGAACTTAAAAATTTGAAGGTAATATTGTTTGCATTTCAAACAATATTAAAATAACCACAAAACCACGATAGAACCTAGTAGTTGATTTATATAGATGGATATATTTTAAATTTACAGTAAGAATATAGTTTCTGTACATAATAATGATGACTCAAGAGTCCTTTTGATTATGGCATATCTCTGCAAGCATTTTTGCCCCATGAAGGGGGAGATGCAAATCTCATGAATGTTACATTGTGCTAAAATGAAACACTAATACAATTTCTACCTTTGCTTGTTATTTCAGGGGACTTAAAAGAAATTATCCATCTACAGAATCACACAAGCATACAGCAAAGACTCTCGAAGTGGTTTACTGGAGCCCGAGTGGAAGTGGAAATAGACTAGAGAGACTGCCAGTTCAAACTCAGGTTGGGGAGGTCTTTCAAGATGGACAGTTTCAGTAAAGTATGAGAGATTTCAAATTTAAGCATGCATATGGCATGTAGGTTATTTTTAAAAATGTTTAACAAAAATGTATTGTGAAAGATCTATATAGGTGTGTATATTCACATTGTGTGTATCAATGTGAATATACGTGTATAAAGTTATATAGATAGTATTTAGATGTATACATTTATAGACCTGTAGAAAATATGTAGGTGTCTTTATTTGTGTGCATCTATAGATATATATTTATAGATCTGTTTATAAGTTTGTTATAGTAAACTAGCTTCTGTTATTTTCAAAGATGTCGTGAATAATTGCAGATTTCTTTTTGTGGCACCATTCCCTGAGTATTAATGAAGTTCTAATAATTGCTGTAGTGAGGTAAAAAAATAACTCCTGACAATATTTTAAATTACTAAATAAAAGCCTTGAGCAAAATAAATTTTTCATCTCTTTTTTTTTATTTTTTATTTGAACACGTTTTAAGCTAGACTTTGGATTGTTGATCAAGATTGCATATCTATGAATGTAATTCACATCCAGGTTAGATGAGAATTGTTCCTACAGGATTAAGGCATCTGGGTCCCGCTGAAAACCCAGTCAGCACCCATTGAAATCAACCTGGGCAAACCCATGTGGGGCCACCATGGAAACCGTGGACAAACCCTCTTGGGACCCATATTGCCTGCCCACTTATATCCCATATGGGGCCCACCTAGGTATGCTGGCTGGGTCTGATTGTTATGATGATGATACTAAGATAATTATATTCAAATTAAGGCAAACATTTTAGAAACCAGTGAAGTACATGGTAAAAACAGCAGCAATGATCTGTGTGGACGTCATAAAATCCCTAAAAGTCCAACTTTGACAAGAATTGTTGTTTTTAGAAATCTGAAAATCACATTTGCCATAAGTTAAAATGAACATAAAATAAAGTTCAGTTCTGCTTCTTGCTGCTTCACTAGAATCTGCAGCAATGTTGCAACAAATCAAAATGTTCAGATTGCAAATATTAGTCAGGAGGGACAATAAGATCGCAGCCTGACAGGAAGTGAACCAGGAAGCCAAACTGGACAGCATGGCTGGAGCAGATCCTGAGCAGCTGCCATTTACAATGGCTCCCCACCAAACAGCCAGTGTTACAGTCACTCAGGTCAGACAAACGATAAAGGAACAAGTAGGTCGTTAAATTTAAAAGCTTCGAGGCAGTGATGTGTAACGTGACCTGCTCAGTGAGTCTGGTTCTTTATATCAAATAAAAAGTTGTTCAAACATCATTTCAAAGTCCTGGAGCTGAAAATTCGCCTCTTATTTGCTAAAACATTTAGTATCGACTCATTTGTTAAACCAGTGCTCTAACAAGACCCTCAGTATTCTGCAGTTTAGCTCAGCATGCTGAAAAGTTACCATAAAATTACGACTTTATTGTTGTCCAACTTTATTCATAATAAAAATGGCAGATGAAAACCTCAGAGCCTGAAAATAGACGGAACCTCTTTTGTTGAGAATGCAAAATGTTTCATCTCTTCTCATCTGACAGGCTGGAATATAAAACAATATTGGTTCAAAATTTTCCACAAATTGAAATGAATGTAGTGAAAAACTAAACTGAAGAAGCTGAGCAGAAACCAATTACTGTTGCTAAAAGTTTTACTGTCACAGTGAATCATTTGCACTCAAACTGAGTAGTCTGATTAAATGTTACTGATTCACTTAATGAACCAGCCAGTACAATGTACAGATAAATTATTAAATATGCACAGATTCAAAATAGCATTTCAGTTCTGGGAGGGAAGGACAGTGAGGGATATGAATAATTATGATCCCAAGGAGGGATGGCAGAAAATAATTGAGAAACACTGGATTATTGTGACAAAGGAAATACCAGAGCACAAATGCATTTTTCCAAGTTTTAGTTCTTCTAGATTTAGCAGAGAAGAAGAAGAAAAGGAGGAGAAAAAGGGAGGAGCTGAATGACTTTAGAGACACTTCCTCATTTAATGCAGAGCAGCACAAAAACCACCAACATCAACTCTCTTCAACATGGACTATGAGCTTTTTTTGGTCTTTACCTCGCTAACAGGTCAGCTTGCTGTTTGGTCAGGAATATGTTTATGACAAATCATAATAGAAAAAAAAACGATGAAAAACTAACATTTTTTCTTTGTTCAGGTGTCATCTGTCAACATGTTACTCCAACGACAGATCAGAAGTCTGGAGCAGCAGACAGCTCTGTTTCTCTATCCTGCAATTACAGTAAAGGTGCAGCAGATTATTTCTTCTGGTATCGACAACATCCAGGGAAACCGCCAGAGTTCCTGACATTTAATACGGAAGTTGAAGAAACGCAGAAAGAATCTCAGTCCAGACTCTCTGGTAGAGTACGAAAAAAGGAAACCCAGATGGATCTGCTGATCTCCTCTGCTGCAGTGACAGACTCTGCTGTGTACTACTGCGCTGTGAGGCCCACAGTGACAGGAAACACCAGAACCCTGAACAAAAACCTGCAGTACTGCACAGCAGCCACTAGAGGGCCTCACTCTGTTAACCCACTAAAACCTGCAGTACTGCACAGCAGCCACTAGAGGGCCTCACTCTCTGTTAACCCACTAAAACCTGCAGTACTGCACAGCAGCCACTAGAGGGCCTCACTCCCTGTTAACCCACTAAAACCTGCAGTACTGCACAGCAGCCACTAGAGGGCCTCACTCCCTGTTAATCCACTAAAACCTGCAGTACTGCACAGCAGCCACTAGAGGGCCTCACTCCCTGTTAACCCACTAAAACCTGCAGTACTGCACAGCAGCCACTAGAGGGCCTCACTCTCTGTTAACCCACTAAAACCTGCAGTACTGCACAGCAGCCACTAGAGGGCCTCACTCTCTGTTAACCCACTAAAACCTGCAGTACTGCACAGCAGCCACTAGAGGGCCTCACTCCCTGTTAAACCACTAAAACCTGCAGTACTGCACAGCAGCCACTAGAGGGCCTCACTCCCACTGGTTGTTGAGTCGTTGGACTGAAGACAAAGACAACAGAGACATGAAGCAGCAAAGATCAGAGACGGAGCTGCTGAGGAAGCAGAAACTCTCTGATTGGTTGAGTTGAAGTGGCCCCGCCCACTGACCTTCAGCTCCTCCATCATTTGTTCTTCCTTCATTGTTGATCTGCTGTGTGGCTCTCAGGACTCCAGACATGTTGCTCTCCCTCCTGTTGCTTCTGTCTCTCAGTAGAGGTCAGTTTAAGGTCAGGGATTCTGGTTCAGTCCAGCAGGAGACAACATGTGGGTCTGCTGTCCTGCACTGGGCCAGACGTCGTTCTGACCTTCAGGCTCCTGTTTGTCCTCTAGAAACAACATGGTTCCTGATCCTGGATCAGCAGCATCGTCTTCCTCCAGTGAGCTGAGCATCAGAGAGCTGACCCGGCAGACGCGGCTCTCTGCTACTGCGCTCTGGAAACACAGTGATACAAAGTGGAGAAGAGGCTGTACAAAAACCTGAACACAGATATCTGACTCCTCTTCAAAGAGGAGGGAAGTGGTATTCACAGCTCAGCGTCATATCAGATGGATTCTGATCATCCTGATTGATTTTATCAGCTTTTACATATAAATCTTTTCTTTTTCACTTATTGACAATATATTAGAAACATTCCTTTACATCAATTTCTACAAAATAATGACATGAGAATATGTAACATTAAATAAGTGATTGCATAAATATTCAGCCCATTGAAAGTGGCTGACCTGATTGAACTGGTCCAGTGTTTGTCGTCTCTTAATGAGTGAACAGACATCAGCTGAGTTGAGTAAATGTGTTTCCAGTGATTGTAGTAGAAACATGTAATAAACATTGATCTGCTGAAAATTAACGTTTTCTGAAGTCGGATGGACATAAATATTCACTCACTTTATCGGAAATACGTTTTTTTTGTCTTTTCTGTAGCCATTAGTTTTCCATCAACATCAATTCTTTTTGGCTTTATTTTGTGGATCATGATTGATTTGTAAAAGCGATAAAAAAAAGTGCAAACCGTCCAAGAAACCATCATGATGCTACTGTATTTGTTAGGCCAAATTGGCCCACAGTCCGTCTTCAACACAAGGGGGAGCAAACAGCTCGAAAAACCCAAACAGCGGAGCAGTCAGGTGCAAGGTATTTTAATCCAAAGAGTCACAAGTAGTGGCACAATAAAAACTGTTCTCTATAAAATCCAGTGTTCTATAAAAAGTCACCCGTTGAAGGCCACAGGTCTTTCTTTGTGGCGGTGATCTATGTGTAGCGCGCACTACAGCCGGCCGCACAGCGCTCCACCACCGCTCCACTCCTCGGCGTGCCACGCCCCCTTACGTTTCGGTCCAACTAGGAAAGAACAGGAAAGCGCCAGCATCCCCGCACCAGAACTCCGTCGGAAGACGTGCTTTTTGCCAGCTCTCTGCAGGATCAGCTCGACCAGAAAGGAACTTACTTACAGGCGCGGGCAGAGGTTACCTCTGCCCTGATCCTCTGTACTGGGCCGTCTGTCAACTCTCGATCGCTGGTGCCGGATGAGCGGCTCCGTCTGCTCCCCTCAGCGTGTCAGTTCCCGTGGTTGCAGAACCAGTTCTCTCTCTTCTTCCCAGCCAGGCTCCTTTTATTTTGGGTCTAATCAGCCTCTGCTGACACCTGTCCGGGTGGCCAGTTAGTGCGCCCCGCCGCCCGGGACAACCACCTTCAGTCCAGGGTGTTTGGATTGTCAAAAGGGGAAAAGGAAAAAAGAAAAGCAACAACCCAAAAACAATATACATGCAAAGCAAACAAAAAAAGCAATAATAATCAACCATAAAAGAAAACAATCATTTTCCCCTGTTCAACATATTAACCAGAGACACAATGTGAATATTTCCCTTAAGGACACGTTGAGGATTCTTTAGAGTTGGACTTGATATTTGTGAAATATCCTAAATCTCCAGATGCAAAAATTTAAAATGTGTGGTAAAAAAGACTGAATTCCCATTATCACACTCCAAATAAACATTTCTATAAACCTGAGGGGGAGTCGTCTGGATTTAAAAAAGGGAAATTTTATAGGATCTGGACCAAACGGACTGATGATGTAAAACCAAACAGATCCGACTTGTGAATTATTTGTGCTGCATTTTTATATTCTCCTGATTTTCTATTGCTTGAAGTTGTGCAATCTGCATTTCTT